TCACACACTCCCGGCGGTACCTGCAATCCCAGGCCGGGATCTGTACACCCGGTGCCGGCTGTATAGGAGCGGGCGGTGCGGTGATCGGGGGGAGCACACAGCTCCGGGGGTACAATGTCGGTGTACAGTGTACACAGTACCGAACACTTCCGGAGCACACACAATGCCCGGGGCCCCGACCAGGGAGGAGTTCCCTCTCCTCTCCCCTCCTCCATTCTGGGGAGATTCCCTCTAATCACAGGACATGCCTATCGCAGGGAGAGAACCGGGCGCAGGGCTTTCGGCTGATACACAGCAAAGTCTTACTGGGTGAAGGCCTGGGAGGATGTCACCCGTCCGTCTAGTCTTCCCTCAGTGGGCCCCAGTCTGTCGCAATGCAATGACGTCAGGATGACCCGGGTGTGTTATATCCAATGGAGGAGGAGTGAGAAGGTTAACCTCTGCGATGCTGGAGAAAGCCGGTCCCTGTACTACTACCCACTGATCACACTGCGTGCGGAGTGTGAGGTCATACTCATTATTATTATTATACGCGGCAAATCTTGTACATGACCGGGAGAGCACACACAGCCATGTACTGGGGACCTGACACACTGCCATGTCCAGGAGAGCACACATGTACTGGGGACCTGACACACTGCCATGTACTGGGGACCTGACACACTGCCATGACCAGGAGAGCACACCAGCCATGACCAGGAGAGCACACACTGCCATGACCAGGAGAGCACACACTGCCATGACCAGGAGAGCACACACTGCCATGTACTGGGGACCTGACACAGCCATGTACTGGGGACCTGACACACTGCCATGTACTGGGGACCTGACACACTGCCATGTACTGGGGACCTGACACACAGCCATGTACTGGGGACCTCACACACAGCCATGACCAAGAAGCACACACTGCCATGTACTGGGGACCTGACACACTGCCATGTACTGGGGGACCTGACACACTGCCATGTACTGGGGACCTGACACACTGCCATGTACTGGGGACCTGACACACAGCCATGTACTGGGGACCTCACACACAGCCATGACCAAGAAAGCACACACTGCCATGTACTGGGGACCTGACACACACAGCCATGACCAGGAGAGCACACACTGCCATGTACTGGGGACCTGACACACTTGCCATGACACTGTACTGGGACCTCACACACTGCCATGACCAGGAGAGCACACACTGCCATGTACTGGGGACCTGACACACTGTCATGTCTAGGAGAGCACACACTGCCATGTACTGGGAACCTCACACACTGTCATGTACTGGGGAGCTCACACACTGCCATGTACTGGGGAGCTCACACACTGCCATGTACTGGGGAGCTCACACACTGCCATGTACTGGGGAGCCTCACACACTGCCATGTACTGGGACCTGACACACTGTCATGTCCAGGGGAGCACACACTGTCATGTCCAGGAGAGCACACACTGCCATGTCTGGAGACCACACACTGCCATGTACTGGGGACCTGACACACTGCCATGTACTGGGAACCTCACACACTGCCATGACTGGAGAACCTCACACACTGCCATGACCAGGAGAGCACACACTGCCATGACCAGGAGAGCACACACTGCCATGTACTGGGGACCTGACACACTGTCATGTCTAGGAGAGCACACACTGCCATGTACTGGGAACTTCACACACTGTCATGTACTGGGGACCTCACACACTGCCATGTACTGGGGACCTCACACACTGCCATGACCAGGAGAGCACACACTGCCATGTACTGGGGAGCTCACACACTGCCATGTACTGGGGAGCTCACACACTGCCATGTACTGGGGAGCTCACACACTGCCATGTACTGGGGAGCTCACACACTGCCATGTACCGGGGACCTGACACACTGTCATGTCCAGGAGAGCACACACTGCCATGTACTGGGGACCTGACACACTGCCATGTACTGGGAACCTCACACACTGCCATGACCAGGAGAGCACACACTGCCATGTACTGGGGACCTGACACACAGCCATGACCAGGAGAGCACACACTGCCATTTACTGCACACACTGCCATGTACTAGATGAAAGGTGCACATTTTATTCTCTAATTTGTCATGTTTAAAATGACACAAACTATGATTCTGGCACAATGCATTGCAAAGACATTTACAAATTAAGGTGTCCTTTTATCATGCAGCGGTAAATGACCGGTGCTCAGTTCATTGGCATTCTCGGAGGAGAGAGTTCTCCTCTGAATGCCTGTTCATGAAGCGGTGTAGATCAGTTCTCCGAATTAAGAGAGGAGCGATCTACAAATGCTTTGAACGCTGGAAAACAGCTGCTTATACTGTGGGCTCTGGGCTGGAGAATCTGGAGGGAGAACACAGATCGCCAGTGAAGGGCTGACATCGCTCCTTCATACACTGGCCATCTGTGTGCTGAGATGATCAGCGGAGAACATGTTCTCCGCTGATCATCAATGTTTCCTAAACCACTAATTATCTGAGATCAGCAACGATCCTCAGGATCGTCATCAGGATCACCACTGATCTTTGTTTCATATAAGGACACCTAAAAGAAGCTGGGTTTTTTTGTTTAGTTTTTTGTTTTTCAATTTTGCGCTTTCTTAAATGTAAACATATGTTAAATGTGTAAAAAGAACAAAAAAAAAAACAATAAAAAAAATCATTAATGGTAATAATATAAAAAAGAACAAAACAATCATTAGGAAAATAATAATTGAATTGTGGAGAGTAAGAGCTGATTAGAGTAAACTAAAGGTTAATATGGGGTTAAACAGAGGAACATCGTATTTAAAAAAAAAAACCCAAAAAACTTTTTCACTTGTCAGGTTGCTTTAACTGACTTCATCAATGCTCATCCCTTTGAAATGCATAATGAAGCAGCAGAATGATACAAAACAAACAATACATTGTATCTTTCTGTAGTATCTGACTAGTTACTGCATTTATAAATACTTCCAGACTGCTTTTTTTTTTTTTTTTGACAACTAACCTTTTCTGTGTCAGTCACAGTAATTAGAGCTGGCTAAGGCTACTTTCACACTGATATTTTTTTCTTCCATTTTTGAAAATGAAAAAGCAGAAGAATACCACATGACCATGAACCCTTATGAAACTCTTCAGTCTAGGTTCACACTGGATGCTGTGCATTTTGCATGCAAATTTGCTGTGCAATTTGTGCTTTGACATCGGCAACTGTAATCGGGTGTATTTAAGTTTTGGGCAGAACAAAAACTGGCTGCCCCCCCCCCCACGGAGAGGGCCTGACACCAACCACCCCTCCTCTCCTAACCCCCCACTTGAGAGAGCCTTCCACTACCACCGCCCTCCATACACCGGCCACACCACCACCCACCCCCCAGCGAGAGAGAGAGAGAAAGACACTCGCCTTCACAGCTCTGGACATCCCCTGGAATGAGAGTCAGGCTCTGCATACACCGTCAAGCAGCCCGCAGCCTCTCTCGGATCCCACCTGGTCCCCAGGCCGCGTGCGCCCCTTCTTCTGCCTCTTCTTCTGGGGGAGCAGTGCTGCCCCTCTGAAAAATGCCGCCCTAGGCAAATGCCTTGTTTGCCTTGTGGTAAATACACCCCTGACTGTAATGCGATTTTAATAGTCTATGGAACTTAAAATCATACTGCAACACACTAAACACACACAGGACCCTTTTTTTTAGAAGTGAACAGGATTCATAGAAAGCAATGTTATTGTGTGTTCTGGAACGCATCGTGACCACATCAGTGTGAACCTAGATTGTAAGCTCCAAGGAACAGGGCCCTCCTATCCCTCTTGTATTGAACTGTATTTTTGCTGTATTGTCTCCCGCTATATTGTAAAGCGCTGAGCAAACTATTGACAATATATAAATCCTGTATAATAATAATAACCAGGGCTCACACTGATCAGTTGCAGGCCCGCTGCATCCTGCTTGCTGCATTTTTGGTGCATGTTTGGTGCTGTAAAAAACTGCACCAAAAACATACCTCCACATTGAAATGAATGAAAAATGCATGATAAACACACCCACAGTTGCGTCTTTGGTACATTTTTATGAGTCGTGTCCTATTTTCACAGATGTAAAAACATAAAAACAAAACACACATGCGGTTTAACCACATTTTTGCAACAGAGCAATGTGACCATAGCCTAAAGCCTAGTACACATACAATGAGAAAATCTGGAAAAAAAAACACTTTTTGAGCGATTGTCAGATATTCTGATTGTTAGTACACAGCTTTCAAGAGCTGATCATGACAGTTCATGCACAAATATCTGAAAGGACAAGCATGAAAATGTTTCTCATGAGATAACAGAATGAATGATATTTGTGTAATTAGTATAGTAATTATACAAAAAAAATCAAGTGACCAAGATTACACATGCTTGGAAACTAAAGGATAGAATACTTTACATTGCTTCTGAAGTTGTATTCTGACTTACCAGAATTTTCGTAACTTTAGTAACCTCTTCATTTTTGATATGAGACTAGCATGCCAAAGAAAAAAAAAATGGACGATCGTTTGTCCGATAGGGAACGGGGAGGTCCTAGCAAACAGGCAGAAGAGACTGGACATGCTACACATGCCCTGTGTACAAGGATGACCTGTTTTTGGCCATGTGTAGCATGCCCAAGGTCTGCAACTAGTTAAAGTCCCATAGGAATACTATATTGTTTTTGGTCCAGAGCTGGGGATGTTTTCAAATTTACACACTGTGCTACCTCCACTTCTCCCAATTTGTAGTTCTGGAAGGTGTCCTGCTTACCCATTGAAGAAGGTTGGAAGGTGTGTGAATATATAGAATGCGTAGTGTAATATGACATCACAAACACTTTTCTAATAGAACTGGTGATGTTCTTCTTTGCAGATGAAATGTTGAAGGTATTCTGCCTGCTGAGTGGGAGGAGCAGAGTGTGAAGACATATCAGACTCCAGAGAGGAAGTGTCAGTGTTCTGTGTCTGTGTCACAAGACCCAACAATCTACGTTCGGGAACATGAAGTTTAAAGCCAGTTTGTGCATATCTGCTGCAGCCGTGTCTCTGGCTCTGCTGCTGCTACACAGCTGTGATAACACTAAAGTGAGTATCACCTCCTCACTGCCTGCTTTAATCCTTCGATCCCAACACTAACTCGCCACAGCTGTGTGCATTGCACGCAGTTGTGGGATGCTTGTAAGCGGCCCCATTTACTGCAATGGTAGGAAGAGTGGAGGAGGTCGGCAAGTTAGCAGGGGGTGGGGTAGGCTTCCCTGAAGAGATGGGTTTTCAGGGTGCACCTAAAGGAGAGGAGAGTAGGTGATAATCTGATGGGTTGGGGCAGGGAGTTCCAGAGGATGGGTGACACCCTGGAGAAGTCCTGGAGGCGGGCATGGGAGGAGGAGACCAGGGAACTAGAGAGAAGGAGGTCTTGTGAGGAGCGGAGTGTGCGTGCTGGGTGGTACTTGGATATTAGGTCAGTGATGTAGTTCTGGGCAGTATGGTGGACAGCTTTGTACGTCAGTGTTAGGATTTTGAATTTGATCCGTTGCACAATCGGAAGCCAGTGGAGGGATTGGCAGAGGGGGGTGGCGGATACAGAGCGGTTGGAAAGGTGAATGAGTCTGGCAGCCGTATTCAAGATCGACTGAAGCGGGGATAGCCAGCGGCGAGGCAGGCCAGTGAAGAGGGAGTTGCAGTAGTCGAGTTGTGATATGATGAAGGAGGGGATGAGCTGTTTAGTGGTTTCTGGCGTTAGGAACGCGCGTATAGTTCCTGATGCAAGGCAAAGCATCACAGCCACCACTGCTGTCTCTATGGCTAAAGGGGGTAGCAGTTGGGTGGGTGAAGGTCCTTTTTAAAGTATAACTAAAGTCAACACTTTTTTATAGTTTTGGTTAGAGGGATTGGAACATCTGTCAGGCTTTTTTGCTGTCTGTGCCCTTGTTATGGAGATTCACTCTCTCTCTATGTGTCCTGTTTACTGTTATCACTGAAAGTGAAGGTGAAAGAATGGGAATAAAGGGAAAATTCTTCCAATGGGGACACTAGTTTAGTGGATAACTAGGGATTGGCAAATCTCTCCAATGGAAAAAAAAATTGATGGTTTATAACCTCCCTTACTGTATCCAAAATTAAAATAAAAAGGTTTGCCCTTAGTTCTACTTTAACAGATAATGTTTCCAAGAGTATAGTTTCAGTACCACTAAAGTCACTTTGAGAGCTGTGGGTGAATGGATAATATGTCACACAGCTTAGTTCATTTTTAGGGATGGGCTGTATGTTTGACTCGAAGTTCCGCAAACACATGAATGGCAAGGGCGTTCTGCGGGCTGTTCGCCTTCCGTGCCCCACAATGCACTGTGCCCTGACAGTGCAATTGTGATTAGCCAAAGCAATGCACAGGTCAGGTGCAATGCTTTCGCCAATTACAGCGCATGACATCACAAGAGGGCAGGAATGACCCAACCCCTTGTGACATCATCACACTATTTAAGAAGTGACATTGCGGCACAGCTGTCAGACAGCCAAGAGCCAGTGTCGAGAGCGGAGCGGTTTTTTTTTTTTCTTCAGGTCGGCAGTGGCGGCGGGCATTGTGATTGACATTGGATCTACTTCCAGGGGCATTTTTTTATTTTTGTTTTTAATAAAAGACTTGTAAAAGTCTGTCTCCTGTCATTTTTACACCACACTTTTTTTTTTTTTTTTTTACCATGTATTCCATACTCATTCACATGGGGGAGGCGGGATCTGGGGGCTTCCTTGTTAAAGGGGGTTTCCAGATTCCGATAAGAGTCCACCCGCAGATCCCCACAGCCACTGGGGAATAGGCCCTTGTCCCCACCAACATGGGGACAAGGTGCTTTGGGGAAGGACACTCGCTCAATTCCCCTTTTCCTGACCTGCCGAGCTGCATGTTTGGATAAGGGTCTGGTATGGATTTTGTGGGGGACCCTCACACCATTTTTTTTTTTTATAAATTTTGGTGAGGGGGTTCCCTTAAAAATCCATATCGGACCCAAAGGGTTTGGTATGGATGGGGTGGGGGAACCTCACACTCTTTTGTTTTTTTGTTTTTGTTTATTTTAATTACGGACAATGCCGGTAATTCTTTTTACAGTCAACTGAAACAATAAAGAATGTGTGTTTAGTATCTGTGCAGTATCTTACCACATACTCAGATGTGGTAAGATACCGCTTAGTGAATTGTCCCCTCTGTTTGAAGTTTGCAGTCGAACTTTTGAATGTTTGACTGCGAACCAAATGGGGGTGTTAGGCCCATCACTATTCATTTACAGCAATGCTATTGTAGCTCTGATGCAGTATCCTGAATGATGTGTTTAGCTTGTAGAAAAAGGAAATCGTGAAAATGTTAGCATCTAAGTGATACATTTTTTTCAGGTGTGGATTAGACTATTCTTTGGCTATCCAACAAGAACTAGAGAAGAGCAACTTTTCAAGCTGGATGTTGGGTGGCCAAGAGATCCCAGCCTTTTCACCGGCACTCCCTATGATGTTGCTGTGGATCACCAGAACTCATTGGTTTATGTTGCTCAGGTACTCTAACACTGTCCTGTCTCACTGTAAGATATAAGTTTATAAGTGTGCATTGTCTGCTCTACTTTATGTATTAGTGCAGAAAACCTCATATTAAATACATCAGGACTATAAATGCAATGTGACCCACTTTAATCTATGGGGGATTTAATCTTAAACAACATTTTCTGAAAGTTTCCCATTCTTTTTTTCCAACTAATCTGATCTAACCCACCCTAGTCCTCCCAAGGGGCATATTTGGTATCCATTCCAGCTGTGTCTCGCTGCTGTGTTTACTGACGGCCAGTTCTCTTCCTCTCATTGCCTTTTTTATTATTTATTATTATACAGTATTTATAAAGCGCCAATAGTTCGCTCAGCGCTGTACATTACAAAGGGGGACAGAACATGTGACAGAACAATACCAATACAATGCAAAACATGAGGGGATCGAGGGCACAATCTAGGAGGGAGGGGATGGTGGCACAGGAGGAGATAGCTGTGGGGGATGGAGTGGTAGGAAGAGTGGAGGAGGTCGGCAAGTTAGCAGGGGGTGGGGTAGGCTTCCCTGAAGAGATGGGTTTTCAGGGTGCGCCTAAAGGAGAGGAGAGTAGGTGATAATCTGATGGGTTGGGGCAGGGAGTTCCAGAGGATGGGTGACACCCTGGAGAAGTCCTGGAGGCGGGCATGGGAGGAGGAGACCAGGGAACTGGTCTCCTCCTCCCATGCCTTTGCAGTAAAACCCTATAGCCTTCTAAAGGGCAGACCACCTATGGAGTTTTACTTTTTCTCACTGCAAAGCACCTATGGACATTTCTAAATGCAAACATAAACAGCAGCTAAACCTTGGAAGAGAAGTAGGAGAGCGTAACTTCCATCAGGCTTTTATTGATACCCATTCCTTTCCAATAGGGAAGTGACAAGGCATCATTGGGACAGGTGAGCAGTAATTTTCCCAACAAGGACCCCAACAGAAATAAATGTCTGATAGAGAGGCCAACCTGCTCCACTCCATCAAAACTTCTAAAAAAAAAAAATATAGGCTGGAGATGGCCTTCGAAGCGATACTCTCATGATGCTGGATCACAGCATTGTAAAGCCATCTGAGACAACTCAGTCAACGTTTTTGATTTTTACATTCCTGCTTCTGTTCTTAGCAATCGGCAATGGTAAATCACCATTCTGGAGCATCTCTTTACATTTACAACATTATAGTGGAAAGTTATACAGTGCATAGACCACTGCTCAGTCCGGACAGTGGGGATAAATATTTAAAGTATAACCAAAGGCAAAACTTTTTTTTTTGAGTTTTGGATAGAGTGGAGAGGAATTAGAACTCAGTTGTTATTGCTGTCTGTGCCTCCATTAAGGCGATTCAGTCTCTCTATTTATCCTGTTTACTATTACCAAAAGTAAAGTGAAAGTAAAAGAAAATCCTAAAATTTGGGTTGTCCATGGAAAAGTAATAGAGTAGAAAATCTTCCAGTGTGGACACTAGTTCTGGTGACCTGGAGGTCACCAAGGAATTCCATTAATTTGCAGGAATTTCCTCTCACTTCCTGTTTGTCTATGGGACAGGAAGTGAAGGGAAATCTCTGCCATGGGACACAGATGGTGAAATAAATCTGACAGGAGTTATAAGCCTCCCCTACCCTGTCCAAAATGAAAAAAAGTTTTGCCTATAGTTCTACTTTAATTCACAGTGGACAGACTAAGCATTTAAGAATAACATTAAAATGGACCTACAGACTAACTTACGTTAACAATTTTCCATTTAATTAGTGATCTTTTGAATGGCAACAAGCCTAGTTTGATGCGTTCTCTGATTTCCATTGTACTATAGAAACCAGAAGTTATGTGGAATTTATTGGAGGTCCAATGAAGGGGAAGCCTATCCATAGACATAATCATGTTGTGGTCCATTTACACCAGGGGTGTCCAACCTTTTAACTTTCCTGGGCAACATTGGAAGAAGGGGAATTGTCTTGGGCCACACATAAAATACACTAAGAATAAGGATAGCTGATAAGCAGAAAACTTTGGGCCGATCACACGTTAATGAGCACTGATATTGATAATGTACCTATCTGAGTAATAAAACTTCATTTTAATATTTTTATTATAAAAGTAAAAGAGGGCAACCTAAAACTAGTGTGATATTTGACACTGTTTTTGATAAACACATCAATATCTGGTTCGATGGATGTAGTAGCAATGCTCAATTAATTCTCAAGGTGCTCAGATATTTTGGTTCTAATTTTGCTGTTCGTGTGCTTCATAATTAAAAATAATTGCTCATAAATATAGGTACTACTGAAAATGAATAAGGCATGATTATGAAGAGTGGGAATTTTTCTATGGGAAGATAAAACTAATAAAACTCCAGTAAAGAAACACTGTCAAATTTTTCTTTGGCTGCATGTGTTCGCTAAGTGTAAATGCATGTTTATAAAAAAATGAAAAAAAAAATCAACATTTTTAAATAAGTTTACGATTTTGTGTTTGGCCGCATTCATAGCCATCTTGGGCTGCATACGGCCTGTTGGATACACCTGATTTAGACCCATTTTTATTCTTACTAAATGTTGTATTTTATTCTAGAGAGGGGACAATGTATCCAAGGTTCTGGTGTTCACAGAGGAAGGATACTTTAAGGAATCCTGGAATACCAACACACTTGAGATGCCCCATGGTATTTTTGCAGCAATTAATCAGAATGAACAATCTATATGGATAACGGATGTTGGCCAAGGTAATATCACTTATTTGGACTGATTCATTAAAAAAAAAAAAAAAAAACGCTGCTGCAAATATAAATTACAGGTACCTAGAGGTGCCTGGACATGGCTGCAACAACCTCTTAACAGCCTGCTGTTACAGGTACCTCCTGCTCCTTTCACCTTCCCACTGGCCCTTCACTATGATGAGCTGAGTCACTGGCCAACAGGAATGTGCAGGAGACCTACTCATTGTAAAGCTATCCAAGCACTTTACAATCTCTTCTTTGTTCTGTACCATATCAGACCTATAGCTGTACAATGAGCAAAGCTCATGCCCCCTGATGATTGAAAATATTGAAAAAAGAAACAGAGTGTAGGGCTTTGCACACTGTGTGTTATGCTATACCTGGAATGTATGTAGCAGATTTAAAATGAAAGTTTAAAGTCCTTGTAAACGCTCCTTATTTTTAACTGTTCTGTGCAATAGAGTATATCCTCATCTTCTGTGTAGTCTTCATATCCTCAAAGGCAAAAATCTCCCCCTCCAAGCAAAAATACCCCCCCCCCCCCCCCAAAGCAAGACTTCCTCCCAAAGCAAATCCCACTAGATCTTCTTTCAAGCAACCCAATTTCTGTACAAATCTACTCCCAGCATAAAATCTTCCCCTCTCAACCCTAAGCAAGCAAACCCCCCTCGCTCAAGAAAACCCTCCCCCAAGTGGAACCCTCTTAAATAAAAACCCTCCTCCCTCCCCAGATCTACTCTCCCCCTAAGAAATTCCACACCAGATACCAGATCAACTAACAAGCCCTCTTCCCCTGCAAAAAACCTCTCTTCCCATTCCTAAAGCAAGTATCTCAAAACCAATTTTCTCCCCCCGTCAACAAATATATTTCCCTCAAGCAATACCTCTCAGTGAAGGTTCCTGCACATGTAGAAAAACTATCTTTACTCAAGCAAAACCCCTTTCTCCTAACCATCCCCCCCCGATAAACATCCGCACAGTAAAAAAACCCTTTTCTTAAGCAAACCCCCCCAAACAACTTCTCCCCATCCCCCCCAGCAAAGAGCTTGCCGTCCACAAGAAACTCTTCAAGGCAGGAGTCCCCCCCCCCCCCCCCCAACCTCTTCCCCTAAGCAGAAGTTCCAAGCCTGTCCAGTTCACCAGACTTCAGATACAGCATGGCAAAGAGACGGGGAGTTCTCCCTCCTAAGTCTCCCTTTGGCTGTGTCATATGACATGTCAGAACCAAGGAGGAGGTCCTTCCACTCTGCATTGCCTTTTGCTGTTTGCATAGTCGAAAAATGGTGACTACAGAATCAGGACCTGGGGCACACAATGAAGGCAAGGGTTGGAACATATGCTTAGGGGGGATTCCTGCCTTTTAAAGTTTTTTGTGGACAGCAGGCTCTTAGCTGGAAAGGATGGGGAGAAGCTGTTTGGGGGGGTTGCTTAAGAAAAGGGGATTTTTACTGTGAGGATGTCTCTGGTCCTAGAGACGCCCATTGCACCCCTGCTGAACCAATGAGACCACACACAGTACAGGAAGACTGGTTGTACTCTCCTATCTGCGGCGAGTTGTAAGTACCTGTATTTGGCTTGGTAATCTGCTTTTTGCAATGTACTGTACAGCAAAGTTCGGGTGAAGGCAGGGGAAGGAAAGAGCTGCAGAAAGAGCCAATCAGGTGTGCTGCAGTGCAAAAAGCATGCTGATAGGAGGAGAAAGCGGAGTGACTTGGAGATGAGCTCATCGTTGAGCTGCCTCTCCAGTCACAGGGTGGGGGGGGGGGACCTGTAAGTGAAACTGCAGCAGAGAAAGATTAGGTTCCCTACCAGGCAGGGCTATGCTATGTGGCTGGGCTGTGTAAATCTCAGAAATCCTTTATAAAAACTGCTCCCATGTACGTATTTTTGTATAGCTGTGTATTTAATGGGTTGGCTGGAGTTCAGCTTTAAAGAAGTCTTTGCAATGTAGAAATATTAGTTTTGTGTATGAATAATACTGTATTCTCTTTTAACTGTCCCTTTAAAATTTCTTCAGGACAATATGGGCATACAATAAAACAGTATTCACTGTCTGGAAAGCTCCTTACAGTCCTTGGTACCCCAGGCATAGCGGGGTCAAGTCTGAGTCCGCTCCAGTTTGATCAACCTGCAGATATTTTCGTTAAAACAAACGGAGACGTGTATATAGTGGATGGTGACGGCGGGCTTAACAATAGACTTCTTATGCTTACTAAAGGTACAGTGATTAATTCTTGTCATTATTACACTCTTTATTATTGCATGCTGTAGGAATTCTTTTTAGTAAAGGCTAACATCATTCTAAAATGTTTGGTTTGGCTTAGATGTATCACTCAAAGATTTCTTATTGCTCTAGGAGACTTCACTGATAACATTTACCCACCATTGTGCCCCAAATCTGACACAATTCAAAGTGTGGGGGACCATGCAAGCACCACCAGGCTCAACAAAAGTCAAACTGGAAAAATAGACTGGAAAATTATTAGTCAAACATTGATTTCATCCAAAGTTATGCAGTCGTCCTTACAATACAATAGCATGCAGAGGAAATTCCTCTATTCAGAGGCATAACTAGAACCTTCAGGGCCCTGGTACAAGAAACCATTAAGAGCCCTGCGTCAGCGTCCCCCCCCCCCCCTCCCAGTGGCTGAAAGGCAGGGTTTGGTCACAAGTGCGACCTTTGTGACCCTGGTAGTTCCGCGACTAGTGTCAGTAGTTTTTTAAATGTGTTATTTAATTTTTTTTATTATTTTTACCATTTTATTTATTTTTTTACAATTTTTAGGAGCCTCGTTGGGGGGGCTTTGATGAGATATCAGGGGTCTAAACAGACCTCTGATGTTTCACCTTTGAGACAGAGAAAGAAGACTGAGGACACAGCCCTCAGTCTCCATCTCTGCATCCTCAGCTGCACATAGTGAATGGATAGGAACAGCTCTGAACAGAAGATTCCGGTCGATTCCTAAGCTGGAGCATAGTAAACACAATTTACTATGCCTTAGTTATGAATGAATAATGATCAGTGCGGATCACTGACTCTATTCATTAAGACAAGGAAGGGGTCGGTAAATTACACATTTACCAGCCCCTGCCCTGCTCTCCATCCTGACAACATTCCCTACAGCAGCCGCTGGAAAAGGGGAATCCAACAGCGCTACGGGGATGGGGGGGAGGGGTCACTGAAAGGCTGCAGAAGGAGAATAGAGGAGACCCATTCCTATATATGCCGCCCCTCCTATACAGGTGTACAGGGGGTCGTGCAGGCCCCCTGGAGCATGGGTTGCGGTCCCTCCACACTGTTTATTGTGGGTGGGGGAATCGATTACCTTGAGAGAATCGAATCGTGTGACTACCTTAATCCAGCTGTAAGTGTGTTATGCCTCAAAATGGCATTGCCAGGTAGGTGGAGATGGGAACAGAGGCGCAGGGATCACACAAGCTGGAATCTCCAAGAAGCCAGTGAGTAATTCAGCCTTTTCACATCTATTTATATTATTAGTACAGAAAGCTTGGTACTTTTTGTTTCTGCATGTCTGATGCTTCGGGATTTTTGCGAATATGCCTACAACCTGCTTTCTATTTTTTAATTGATGTATTCATTTTCTTTAGAGTTCAATGTTCAGTGGACATTGGGAGGTAATGGAACAAAGCCTGGTGAATTCTATATTCCTCATTGTGTAGCAGTGGACGAATATGGACGTGTAAGGCTACTTTGATTATTGTGACACCAGAACTATATTACCATTAATCTGTAGTGCTAATACAATTTACTGCACTAGTATTTAAAGGGATATCTCAGCTTTACCAAAATAAAAACTGCCTATGCAGATAAGGGACATCTGTAGTTAAACATAAACTATGCAGCTTTGACAAAAAGTGAAATACACTTGCTATAGGTGTAAGCCATTTACGTACTTCATGAAGCCTGACTGGAAAACTCCCAAGATGTTACTAAGGACGTTGCTAAGAAAGGCCCAGCTATTACTGGTCACCTTCACCATCACAGGAGTGAGCTTTTTCTCTGATTCAAACTGCCTCACATGCTCTTTCTCCCCTCTCACTCCTTTGATGGGGAGGTGAACAGTATTATCTAGGTCTCTCTTATCAACGTCCTGGAAGTTTTCCAGGTAGGCTTCTGGAGGTATGTAAATGGCCTACACCTATACCAAGGGCATTATTCAACTTTAGTCAGAGATGCCTAGTTTGATTTTATCAACAGACTCCTCCTTTCTACATAGACAGTGTTTAGGTAAAGGTGAACTAACCCTTCAAAGGCTAAGATCAGTTAAAATAAATAAATAAATGATAATTTTTTGCAGGTAAAAAAAAAGAAAATGTGCATTTATTATTTTTTAAGTTAGGATCCTGCAGAGCATTGCACTCCCAATCAGCAGATCACAGGCGAAATGTCAGGTTCCTGCATACACTTGGTACGACTGTCTGTCCATACTTCCCGTACAGGCTGCCTGTTACTGAATTTTTGGACGTGTCAATGAATTAGGAGAGTGCTCATCAGCGCCCTCATAGTTCTTTGAGAATTACATGCCCTAGTAGATGGAACTTGTAGTTCACTCATTCACATATCTGTGTGAATGAAAAACACAGCTGTGTGGGGGTGGGGAACCACACACATCTGCACTTTTTAGATAGTGACAGCATGTGCAGGGAGAGGATCCCCCTGCTTTCACAATGGAGGATCGGAAGTGAGGGAGGCTGATGTACATTTTGGCATTGATATTAAAAATATGACTGATCATGCCAAAAAACTGTCTTTTATTTTAGGATAGTGATCATATGAAGCCACTTATTATCATATAATTGTTTGGCTCCTTTTTAAATTATAATGAAATCACCCGAACAGTCCTGATCACAAGTTTACATGCCCTGGAATGTTTGGCCTTGGTAGAAACACATGGGCTAAAATGGCAATTAAAGGTTCATTTCCTACATCTGTGACTTTTTAAATTGATATTATTGCCTGTGTATAAATAGTCAGTGTGTTTGTTAGCTCTTATGTGGATGCACTGAGCCATGGGGAGCAAAAAGAACTGTCAAAAGACCTGTGTAAAAAGGTAATGAAACTTTATAAAGATGGAAAAGGATATAAAAAGTTATTCAAAGCCTTGAATATGCCAATCAGTACTGTTCAGTCACTTAATAAGAAGTGGAAAGTTCTGGGATCTCTTGATACCAATCCAAGGTCAGGCAGACCTGGAAGGAACGCAGCCACAACTGCCAGAAGAGTTGTTTGGGATACAAAGAAAAACCCACAGATAACCTCAGGAGAAATACAGGCTGCTCTGGAAAAAAGACAATAATGAGCTGCATAGTCGAGTTGCAAGAAAGAAGCCTTTACTGCACCAATGTAAAAAAAAGCCCGGTTACAATATCCCTGACAACATCTTGACACGCCTCAGCATGATCAGTCATATTTTCAATATAAATGCCAAAATTTCACGATTTCTGCCAGGGTGTGCAAGCTTTTGAGCACAACTGTATTAGTAACACGCTACCCTAAATAAAGGTGTAACATGTTACAAAAGGTGATCCTTTAATGATAATAATACAATAGAGCATTGCTGGAAGTCCACAACAGACGCCTGATAGTGTTGGTTTATAGGTGCCTTTTTATACCTGTCATACAACTGCATGCAAATTGGTAAAATGTACTTTGAGACATAACAATAATACCATCTGGGCTGTTTGCATGCAAGCAACTATGGTCATAAATTAAGCTATCACAACCAATTAACTATCATTTGTATACTTTAAACGTGAAAAGTTATCCCATGTGCTATAGGTAGCATGGTAGCAAAGTGGTAAGCACTGTTCTCTTGCAGCACTAAGATCCTGTTTTCAGATGTTCTATGTGTGTTGCAGGATCTGCAGTTTGCTTACGCATTTACATAATAACACATACGGCTAGTTTACACTTGCATTGCTCTCTGAAGTGACCCGTGTTCTGATCACTCTGCAGAGAGCATTTGCAACACATCCTAACTATCTGTTTTAACCCCTTAAACCCTGCACTATAGCACTGCGACCACGTTTATTGCACATGGTTGCAGGACAACACCATTCAGTTGAATGGGTCGTTTTCAGTGGGTGGTATTGCCCTGTGAACACAGCAACAATGGGGATAATTTTTGCCAAAATTCAAAGCATCACAGCCATGGCATGTGTACTACCCCCATTGCTGCCACAAGAGTAAACAAGGTCATAAATAGATTATTTGGCTTTTGTGTAAATAAGTGCTTATTAGTGTTTTATGCCCCAGACTGAACTGTCCTGATAAAAGCTTGCTGTCTCATCATCTACAGGTTTGGGTTGCTGATCGGGGCAATAAAAGAATACAGGTATTTGATAGCATCACTGGGGAATGGATTGGAACCTGGGACACCTGTTTCTCCGAAGACGGGCCCTACTCAGTCAGGTATAATTGTGCAATTTATTTAAAATATGTGAGTGCCAAACTGGGCATTGTCAGCTGTTGAATAATAAGTTCCGTTATGTGAAAAACATTTATTGCTGCAAAAGATTTATATTTTATCATTTGCAAAGCATAAACGCTAACTGCCATCTGTTATCAGAAGTAATGGCTCACTAGAACAAAAAGTTATCCTTATGGTGGTTCTGGAAACTTTGTTTCTGAGTTTAAAAAAAGACAGAGTTTCTTGGACATTCTAGTTTCAAAGTCATTCCCAGGAATTAACTAAACTCCAAAAACCATTATAATGGCAATGGCACTTGAAAATAGTTGAGAGTGCCATATGCCAGATTAACTAAGCAGATAGACATGTTTCAGATCTATCTCCAGCATCTGTGACAGGGTCATTATCAGAGTGGAACAGAAACTAGCACAGGTCTGCACCTAATTAACAGAGGGAATGCAGCAGTTTTCCATATAGAAAACTGCCACAAATACCCACCAGCTATGACCTGGTTGTATGGGATGTGAGCTGTCTGTAGAGAGCTTGCATTCCTCACTCTGCCCTGCAGTGATTACACTACACTAGCAGAGCCTGCACGGTTAGCAAACCTCTTCCTTCCTCCTGCTCTGAGCTGAGCGAAGGGTAGGGACAGGCAGAAAGATCAGCACATGCAGGTCCAGCTCTCCATTCACTGTGCTGCGTGCTGTATCTTCACAGCCACAGAACAGAGAATTGATCACTCCAAATTAACAAAGGGCTGGTGCATCTGTTCCATTTTTATGTTTATGTTTATTTTTATTTTTATTTAATTTAGTTCTGCTGAGCTACACAAAACCCTGTTTTCCATAATGCCAAAGTAATAAGTATATTTCTGTGTGCCAGTCAGAAATCTCCTTTTATTATCCTGGCTACACTAAACTGAACGCAAAATCACATTGGTTATTATTTAGAAAGTATGACATATTTACAGTGAGCATGCTTTCTTTTTTATAATTGCAGTATTTACCCTGTAATCAATGTGCAAGTTTGTTCATCCATGTTTTTCTTGTTGCAATAAATATTAAAGAAAGTTGTCTTCTAGTACTCACTTTAATTTTCTTTCCCTAGCTTTCCCACACGTCAGCATATTATGGGGTCAGGGCTGACCCACACCTATGCTGACATGAAATGAGCCAACAATATGTAAAATTGTTTTCTACAACTTACCGTAATTTTCTTTTTCTTACGCTCCCCCATGTCAGCATATGTATGGGGTCAGGAAGTGAAGCTGACGATGATGATGATGATATGAGCTCTGTATTTAAATGTAGTCATGCAGTCTCTTTGTTTAGACCCCATTTATATTTAAGCGACTTGTCATGAGACTTTGGACATCAAAGTTGCATGACAAGTCGTACCCCATGTTTTCAAATGATAACCATTTATATGTGCAACTTAAAGTTGCAGTGACTTCAAAGTAGTTCATACACTACTTTGGTCTGACATTCATGCAACTTGAGGGCCATAGACTTCAATGTTAACCCTCAAAAGTTGCATGAAAGCCGTACCTGAATGTTTTACATTAACAGCTGTGCAACAGTGGGTCCGACGTTGCAGAGGGACAAGTCACATCCAAGTCACGCTCATCCAGATATGTTTACCACTACTCAATGTAGAGAAACTCCCAATCTCCAAGCACAACTCCTCCCGTAGGTGCTAGCCTATCTCATGTGCTGCATAAATGAGAACAAAGGACGTCCGATCGGCTCCAAGCAATCCACTTTCATTGAACAAAGATAAAACCAATACAGACAGTGGAAATACAGTTGGGGACTGGCAGGTAAACGCGTTTCACGGTAAAGACAATGCTTATTCATTACCCCTGGGGTACCGCTGTCTTTAGCATAAAATGCGTTTACCTGCCAGTCCCCCGCTGTATTTCCACTGTCTGTATTGGTTTTATCTTGGTTCAATAAGTGGATTTTTGGAGTGCAACCGATCGGACGTCCTTTGTTCTCACACTCATCCAAAGTTGTGTCAAAGGTGCGTTAAAGTTGCACCAAAGTTTCACGACTTATGAGTTGTACAATTGTGAATGAAGCCTCAAAGTTATTCTAAAGCCAAAACTGTTGACATTTTGGTTTAAGTCCAATGTAGAGAATTGAATTAAACATAGTATAGTATTTCATAGGTTATCAGTCAGTATAATGTGTCATACAATCCCATTACAAACATTTATGGAGAAAGTAGCTTATTGTCTGAATCCTCATCGAGGTGTAGATTGTGGATAACTGCCCCACCTCTCCAGCTTGTCCAATCAGAGAACACTTTGCATTTGTTCAGAACTGTAAAGTGTTCCTCGAATGGTGCTTGTGCCGAATGACTGACCTCTTGTGTTCAGTAAGCAGCAATACAGCCTCAGGACCCAAAAGCTAGTGGAAGTCACTGTAGTAGCGGTGCCTACTATAGTGATTTCCAGCTTCCATGGAGATCCCTCAGGTAGGGCACATACCGTACATTCTTATGTTAGTCCAAGCTGGATGAACGTAATTATACAGTACATGTCATAGCTAAACTTCAGCTTTAACAAATCCAGTTTCGGTTAATTAATATCTCCCTGACATTGTTTCTTCTGTTGTTGTTACAGGGTAACAGGGGACAGAAAGTATATAGTCGTGGCCCAGCTGAACATAAGCCGCCTGCTGTTTTTGTCCTTCCCACCTATAGGACACATCGGACATTGCCAAGTGGCCAGCACAATCCAAATGGCTGACGGCGTCCGGCCTCATCTGGTAGATGTCAGTCTAATGACTGGTTCAGTTTATGTGGCAGAACTTGGTGCTCAGCAAGTAAAGTACAAAGATATGTTCATGTATGAAAGAGCAATGGGCTAAGCCTGGAGTGCAGTTGTATGTTTATGCCTTAGAGGCCAACATTGTTTTTCTGCACTGCATTCAAACTCTGGGGAAATGTCAACAGTGTGTTTTTCAACACACATTCTCAAACTTGAGGGTCAGCGGCGATCAAGAAAGCACAGAAGTTTTAAACCAAGCATGTGTCTTGATGAAAAGCCTAATTGTAATAATGTATACCTTGTTCCAGGGACATACTGAGGTTGTAGTCCATTTTCCTGCAAGTTTTTCCTGCCAGCTGTCCAGTTACCCTCTCTGGTGTGGCACAGGAATAAGAAGTAATACTTATTTTACACCTCATTCCTTTAGGCTCCCATTATCCATGCAACTGCTCCCACAAAGGCTCTTCACTAAGACGATCCTGGCCACGGTCGCATGCATGCCTCCCCCCCCCCCCCCCATTTAATCAGGGATAATAGTTCTACTTTACATGTGATAATGCCAAGGGACGCTCCACACGTCATTAGTTCAGGGAGTAGATGACAGTTCTAGAGCAGGGGTTAAGGTAAGTGCAACATCCTCTTCAGCTCCCTCTAGACCTACAGTGGGGATTGAAAGTTTGGGCACCCCAGCTAAAAATTTGTATTAATGTGCATAAAGAAGCCAAGTAAAGATGGAAAAATCTCCAAAAGGCATCAAATTACAGATTAGACATTCTTATAATATGTCAACAAAAGTTAGATTTTATTTCCATCATTTACACTTTCAAAATAACAGAAAACAAAAAAATGGCGTCTGCAAAAGTTTGGGCACCCTGCAGAGTTAATATCTTGTATTGCCCCCTTTGGCAAGTATCCCAGCTTGTAAACGCTTTTTGTAGCCAGCCAAGAGTCTTTCAATTTTTGTTTGAGGTATCTTTGCCCATTCTTCCTTACAAAAGTCTTCCAGTTCTTTGAGATCTCTGGGCTGTCTGTCACGCACTGCTCTTATAAGGTCTATCCATAGATTTTCAATTATGTTGAGGTCAGGAGATTGTGAAGGCCGTGGCAAAACCTTCAGTTTACGCCTCTTGATGTAATCCCTGTGGATTTCGAGGTGTGTTTAGGATCATTATCCATTTGTAGAAGCCATCCTCTCTTTAACTTCAGCTTTTTCACAGATGGCATCAAGTTACCATCCAAAATTTGCTGAAATTTTATTGAATCCATTTTTCCTTCTACTCGTGAGATGTTCCCTGTGCCACTGGCTGCAACACAACCCCAAAGCATGATTGATCCAACCCCATGCTTAACAGTTGGACAGAGGTTCTTTTCATTAAATTCTGTGCCCCTTCTTCTCCAAACATACCTTTGCTCATTCCGGCCAAAAAGTTCAATTTTAACCTCATCGGTCCACAGAACTTGTTTCCAAAATGCATCAGGCTTGTCTATATGTTTACTTGCAAAGTTCAGACGATGATTTTTGTGGTGAGGACGTAGAAGAGGTTTTCTTCTGATGACTCTTCCATGAAGACCATATTTGTACAAGTATCTCTTTATAGTGGAATAGTGTACCACAACTCCAGTGTCTGCCAGATCTTTCTGGAGGGATCGTGCAGTCAAACGTGGGTTTTGAATTGTTTTTCTCACAATCCTGCGAGCTGTTCTGTCTGATATTTTTCTTGGTCTTCCAGATCTTGCTTTAACTTCCACTGTTCCTGATGACTGCCATTTCTTAATTACATTCCGGACAGAGGATATTGACATCTGAAAACGCTTTGCTATCTTCTTATAGCCTTCTCCAGCTTTGTGAGCGTCAACTATTTTCAGTTTCAGTTTTCTAGACAACTGCTTAGAAGAACCCATGGTGCTGATTGTTGGGGCAAGGTCAGATGAGTCTGGGCATTTAAAACCTTTGAGATTGACATCACCTGGTCTGCCCAGACGATGATTGAGAACAATCCATGACACTGGCAGGTCTCAGCTTGGCAAAGTGGGCAGTGCATACTATAAATTCTGCAGGGTGCCCAAACTTTTGCAGACACCATTTTTTGTTTTCTGTTATTTTGAAAGTGTAAATGATGGAAATAAAATCTAACTTTTGTTGACATATAAGAATGTCTAATCTGTAATTTGATGCTTTTTGGAGATTTTTCCATCTTTCCTTGGCTTCTTTATGCACATTAATACAAATTTTTAGCTGGGGTGCCCAAACTTTCGATCCCCACTGTAACAATCATTAAACCCCTGCAGGGCGGGGGCCCCCACTGCAAGGGTTTTTTTTTTTTTTCACCATCCTGGAATTGGGCTTGTAATTTGAAGATATGGCAGCACCTGCACACTGGAGTTTACATTTTTACTTCCTGTAAATGAAGGCACATTTCTAATTGTTGATAGCAAGGGTCTACTTTTTGATCAAATGCATTGTTTGTAATTGCTTTTATATTGCTCAGATTCCATGGAAGCAAGATATTTTGTACAAATGAAAAATAAAATGCATTTAAAGTGATTCTAAACAGAGACGTGTTAATTGCCATAATTCATTCACATAAATCATAAATATCCTCTAAGTATCTTATTCCTGCAGCTCTGATGTGTGGTGACATGATCTTTCCATGTTCTTTGGTATCACAGCTTAGAAGGGAACTGAAATTGAGCATGCTCAATAGGGGGCACCAGCTGATCTACAAAATCTCAGACTGCAGTGGGGATACAAAGAAGGCAGGACCAACCAGGTATATTTCACTCTACACAACACAAGTGTTTTACTGGCTTTTACTGAGTATGCACACTCTGTTATATAGCATGTAACAAGATTTTTTTCATAGTCTGGATTTAATGAAAGCAATAGGTTTTCTTAATCTGCTGAAAAAAGTAACATTCTCAGGGGTTCAGTAATAGTTTGTAGTAGAAATGATAGATCTTTTGTTATACACACATAAACTCAGAAAGATTGCATATATCAGTAACATCAGGGAGCCCCAGAGATACATCTTCTCTCTGATAACCCCTACTGTGAAATCAGAGATACATTTCTGAAAATGGTTGTATTTGTTTTTGAGGTCTTTCATTCCATTTAATAGATTGTAATAATTTATGAATTTACAAACAGGGTCCTAAAGTGGACCTTGCATCAAAACGCAATGGGGGGATTTACTAAAACTGGAGAGTGCAAAATCTGGTGCAGCTCTGCATAGATACCAATCAGGTTCCAGGTCAAAGCTTAATTGAACAAGCTGAAGTTAGAAGCTGATATGCAGTTCAGTTTTGGGCACCAATTCACAAAAAGAACATTGGGGAACTGGATAAAGTACAGAGAAGGGCAACCAAACTGATAAGAGGAATGGAGGAGCTCAGCTATGAGGAAAGATTAGAGGAACTGAATGTATTCTCTCTTGAGAAGAGGAGATTAAGGGGGGATATGATCAACATGTATAAATACATCAGTGGTTCATATAGTGAACTTGGTGTAGAGTTATTCACCCTGAGGTCATCACAGAGGACAAGGGGGCACTCTTTACATCTGGAGGAAAAGAAATGTAATCTCCAAACACGGAAAGGTTTCTTCACAGTGAGAGCTGTGAAAATGTGGAATAGACTCCCTCAAGAGTTGGTTCTGGCCAGCTCAGTGGATTGCTTTAAAAAGGCCTGGATTTCTTTTTTGGATACACAGAATATAACTGGATACTAACATTTTATAGTTGATCCAGGGAATATCCGATTGCCTCTCGGGGATCAGGACGGAATTGTTTTACCTGCAGGAGCAAATTGGATCATGCTTTGCTGGGTTTTTTTTTGCCTTCTTCTGGATCAACTGTGGGTGTAGGATTATAACTTTTTTCTTTTTTTTTTTTTTTTAATGGTTGAACTGGATGGACTTTTGTCTTTTTTCAGCCAGACTAACTATTGCAAGAACTATGATTGGCTACCATGCACAGCTTTTGCACCAGATTTTGAGTGGCTCAGTTTTTTGGCATTAAACCTCCCCCAATGTCCCTTTACCTGGCAGATAGGTACATTATCTATATCAGTGCTTAACTTGTGATCTGATCGACTTTTTCTGCTCATCAACTCTCCTTATAGTTAGTGCATTTTATGTGTGGCCCAAGACAATTCCTCTTCTCCCAATGTGGCCCTCAAGAAAAGCAAAAGGTTGGACACCCTTGTAAATAAACCATTACCCAGTCTACCCAGAATATGAAAAAATTTACTGAGCCCTCCTTGAGTCAAGATGAACCCCTGTGGGTGACATTAGGCCATCAGTGATATTTTAGTTGTACAGTAAGTGAAGCTGGAGGTGTCTGTAACATGGAATATGATTTGGCATTGCTGGAAGATTGGTCAAAGCTGCAAGAAACTGAAGTTCAGTGTTTCTAAATGTAAAATAATGCACCTAGGGAAAAATAATCTTTTGATGGAGTACAATATTGGGGGGTACAGTTTAGTCAAAACTACACAGAAAAATGATTTGGGAGTATTTACTTCAGATAATTGCAAAATGAGCAAATAGTGTAGCCAGGCAATGGGTAAAGCAAATACCTGGGGTGCAGAGGGGTCACCATCAGTAAGAAGGAGGTCCTAATTCCTCTATATAGTTGGACCTCATTCAGAATACTGTGTCCAGTTCTGGAGACCTCACTTACAAAAAGATATTGAGAAGACAAAATGAGCCGAGAGATGGGTAACAAAAATGGTGGAAGGTCTGAGGGATAAAACATGCAGAGACTTCAGGAACTTAATATGTACAGTCTGGAGAAAAGAAGGGAAAGAGAAGACATGATTGAAACCTTTAAATACATCAAGGATGTGATTAAGGTTTAGAAGGGCAGAATTCCTGATATAAAGCTAAGATCAAGAACAAGAGATACACCTCCTCATCTTAATAACATATAGGGAGGTGTACCCTGGGTTTTGAGGGCTGAGAATACTGTTTGAAACAGCACTTCAAAGTGGACGGGACTGCATTGGATTTTTTGTCAGGATCACTTTTATGGAAGAGATATAACAAAACCCTTTATATATCTTATCTTTATATAGACCAAATGG